CCAGTGTAACGGCATGTGCTCTTCTGAATAACCGGAAAGTTTTCCATGAGAAATTGCTCTAGGAGAACTGAAGAATGAATAACGCACCGAGTCCTTCTTTTTTCTTTTAAAACCCAGACCCGTGGCCCTCCTAAGCGGCATCAAGAGCTCATACGCAGTACGGTTCTTCTTGGCTCCAGTTTTAGGTTTGATGTAAGAAACTGGGGTTGGAACGCGTTGTAACGGTGGTTTAATTGCCGTCACCCTGGTACTGGGGAGCCTCAGGTCGCTGTCGTGTTTCTGTGGCAGCTTTGTGGTACCTACAGTTTTTTTTGGTGAGCTTGGAAGTGGTGTAATGAAGAAAACGAGAAAACGGATGCAGCAGAAGAGAGGGTGGTGGCTGGGCATGGTTGTTGAGCACTTTTTGTAGTTTGGGGGTTTTTTCACATTTTGAATAATACCGTGATGAGAATTATACGGGCGATGATAAAGCCGGTGACTGTGGTTAAGGCTGAAGCGTGAGAAGAACTGAAATGGTTTAACAGCGGGGATTTGCCCAGCTCGGGGCTCTTGTTCTTCAGCTGCTTCTCACCGTGGGGAAGAAACGAGTGATGTGTTGGGACCCCACGGATCTTCTGCAGAAAATACCAGTGTTTTATTTCAAATCCAGCTCTTAGCAGTGGCTGAATGCTGCCCGTGTGAAGGCTGCTCTTTCTTTTCAGGGAGGACTTCTCCGTCGCAGTTCGTCTCTCGGGAGGGCAGTAGGACCTGAGATCAGGAAACTTGGAGCTTTCAGGAAACATCTTGTAGGGTAGTAGCCCTGTAAAGCTGGCGTGTGGGATCCCTTGGTACATCCTGCCTGCCGATGGGCTTTCCAGGGTAACAACAGAGATGCCAAATATTGTGGGGGAATTTGGGAGGACATAAGCCATGCAGAAAGTTAAAGCTGCCCTTCTTAATAGTGAGGGACTAGGGCTGCGTGTCGTGCAAGAACTTGAGCAGAAAGTACTGGTATTAAATGTAATTGTGCCTCCCTCGCTCTGATCTGAAATACCGACTGCTGCGATCGAGGTAACCTCAGCTTTGTTTCGTCTCTATCCTCCAAAAAGTGGGGCAGGTGTGGGAGGGGGAGCAGTAGGACCCACGCCACTGTCGCGGAGGAAGGGGGGAAGGCCTCAGGTTGTTCTTGTGGTTTGTGGTTCAGGCTGAAGCTACTTCTTTGAGGTATTTGATTTTTATTGCCTCTAAATAGAAGAGCTGGCAGGAGTTAAAAATAGCCGAGTCTGCTTCCCACCTGTTTGGATGCTCGTCTGATTTTTTACTTTGGAGGCAGGAACGTGTGAATGTAAATCATCACCATTAAAGCAGTGCTGCTCGTGCGCCCGAACGACGGGCACAAGATGCTTCTTGCGCCTCGGTGAGGACGGGCACCCCGACGGATGCGACACGTGCGCCTCGCCGAGCGAGCGGCCCGAAAACACTCCTAGGGGAGCATTTTTGGGAGCGCGCTTGCTGGCTTTTGGTGGGACAAACTGGAATCACGAGCCCACCCTGGAGTAACAAAGACAAATGTCTTGATAAAAAGGTGGCTGGTTAAGCATTTAGAACATTGTTCTGTGTTTATGCTGAATGGAGCAAGAGCCTGGTAATGATGGGAGGTGCTGTCCGGCCCCGGAGCTGCCTGCCGGCGAGTGACATCAGAGCCCGGTTGTTTTCTTTTGCGTCATCGAGTTGTGGGAGCGGGTAGCTGCGTAAGCGGTGTTTGCTCAGAAACCCTCTTCAGTGCTGCGCTTCCTTGGGGCGCAGAGCTTTTGGTAGGAACTTTGTTTCTGTGCGAAGCTGATTTGGAGAGGGTTTCTCTACCTGATGGGTGCTGTAGAGTACGTACAGTCAAAAGATGTGGAGTCCCTGTGTTGAGAGTAAGTGGTGAAATTTGACTTTCTCAGAGGTGATGGACATATTTGGTAAAAGCTTTTACATTAGCTGTTGCAGTGGAATTATTGGTTGGGTCTCCCATTCCTTTCCTCACTTGTTTCTCCTCTGCATCCCCCGGCAGCGCTGCTGAAACCCACGGTGTCTGTTTTACCCCTCTGCTGGAATACTTTTCAGTTATTCTGGGACTTATCTGCTTGGCTTAAGGCAGAGAGTCCTCCAGGAAAGTAGTTGGAGAGTGAGGTGACGCTGCGGATGCCGCTGCGCTTTCCCAGTAATCTAACTGGTGCTGGTGGGACTCTTCCATAAGCCCATTTGTTTGAGGAAGACAGACTCCCTGCCGCCTCAGCTGCTGGGGTATCAGGTAAGTTAAACAGTCTTCCATGGTTTCACCCAACTCTTTCTCCTCTGCTCCTCTCTTAGGACAGTCCCAGCATCCTTGCATGCCTTTCGGTCATCTTGAAATTTTTTTTTGCTGATGTTGTAAGAGAGGTTTCCAGGAGCAAATCCTGAAACCTGCTGACTGGATCAGCAGCTCGGCATCGGTGCTACGGTTAGTAACGGAGCTCTGCTGGGCAGAAGTGTTATGGGAAACGTTCTGTGCGGCAGCAGGGCTGCCAAACTTGTGTGGCAAACAGAATTTCAGGCTCTGTCGTGATCCGCGACGCATCGGAGGGACACGAGAGGAGGAGGAGAGCGGACTCAGGCCACTTTGAATACCTCAGAATTAAAACTTGAGCGTTTTCTGTTTTACCACCTGTGGTGTTTGCGCAGGGAAGGGATCTCCGCTGCAGAGGAGAGGAGACTTCTTGTGTCAAATGTGAAAGAAGCAAAACATGACAGTTCCTAAAACTCCATTGACTCCTTATCAAAGCACATAGGAAAGGGTAAGACTTGCTGAACTTCCTTGGTGTTTGAAGCAGGTACTGAATGCTGAATCTTCAAAGGACACGTGGATGAGACTCGTTTCATCCTTCACTCTTTCTTCCCCAACTGCTGGGCCAGGCGGACACACGACAGCATCGCGTTGGGGGTTTTGATCCTCGTTTGTGATCTTTTCTGACTGAGCGTACTTATCTTAATGGTGTCCTACCCACGGAGGATACAAAGTGTCAGCGTCGGTGGAAAAGTTTGCGGAATCCAAGCTAAAACAGTGAAAAACGCGGCTGCAAAATTTGGTGTTTGGGGGGAGATTTGCTACTTGTGCTTTGTGCGTGTGAGGTGGCTCAAGAAATTGCTACTGGGCCTGATAATTTGACTTTCCGATACAGAGATCTATGTCCGGTGTGGAGGTGCTTGTGTAACTGAAGTTTGCATAAACTAGGAGTGCCTAACCAATGTGAAAATGATTATTTGGTCAAGTGACTTGCAGTGTTGCAAGCTTTGGCTCTCTTAAGTGGGGGGGAAAAATATTTATGTGAAATAAGCAAAGTCTGGGGAAGCTAGGAGCTTGATAACTTTGCATGATATATGCACAGTGCCATGCTTCAAACTGGCTTTTTTCAGAGCGTGAAAGATAGATTTTTGCTGACGTGACAGCACTGGGTTTGTTTTTGGTGCTCACAGTTCGCTGGTGATAAAGAGTATTTCAAGCTCAGCTTAACGAGTTTAGCCTCTATTGCTAACTAAACGTGTAATCCAATTACGAAATCCTCGCATCTGTTTTGAACTTAAATCATCCCTGGTTTCAACTTTTTTTTTTTTTATCCCACATGACTCTCTCAGGATCGCAGGATGTGTGAAAGTGGTTTACTGTTGCCATATGCTGCTTGGCACAGAGCTCTGCGCTGTTGCAGTAGGTTTGGAGCACGGGTGGTTGTGTGATGTGTGGTTTGGTGGTTGTTTTTTTTTTTCTTTTTTCTGTTACAAAAGCTGTGTTGATTCTTGCCCTACACTTACTGCGTCTGCTCGTTTCCACAGATTCTGCTGCAGAATCCTTTCTCGTGGTTGCCTGAGGATCAGGTTTGCAGGAGGGGTGGTTCCCCCAGTTCTCTCCTTGATCGCTACCTTGCATCTAGCCTGTGCTGTTTCCCAGTGGTTCAAATCTGTCCAACTTGATACCTTCAGATTGAGTCACTTTATTGTGGGCTTGCTGGGTGTGTTTGGTGTGAAGGGATTGCTGATATCTGTGGGAAGGACACATTTTCCTTTATCAGCTTGATAGCCTCCTCCTTAGAAGCTCCCTGGCCTGCTCAGCTATTTCTGTACAGGTATTAGGGATAAATAATATTTATTTAGGTCAGAGAGGAAAACTTGAGCCCTGTGACTAGGAACCATGAGCTGCCTGTACGGTGTGTCCGTACGCCCCGTGCTCTGTAGTACCTCCCACATGTGACAGTGCAATAAATGGGGAAACACCTGCAGTCTGGCTGGACTTCTGCCCACCCTCTCTTTTGTGAGAAGGTAGCTGCTTTATTTAACATCCTTTTCTAATTAACTCAGATGATCTGTTCCTGAATTTAGGAGGAGAGCATCTACTGGGTTCTTCCCATCCACAAGCCTTTTGGTTTTTCCTGCTTTGCTCCGTGCTGGTTCTCAGTGGTTTTTGCTCAAGCAGATCCAAAGTCTGTTGCTTTCAATACTTGAAGATTATCCATGGTTAATATTTGAGATGTGCCTGGTCCTTACTTTTTGACAAGTGTGCTGCTACTCTTGCCTTAAAATGGTGGGAATACCTATTGTCATCCCTTGTTCTGCTCTAAGGAGAGATTAAAAACTGGGAATAAGTGTGTGATTGACTTCAGACTCTTCTATTTGCACGACATTTGTGAGGAAGCAAAGGAAAGGAAGGTCAAGCAAATAATCCCCGCAAAGAGTTCTCCCAAGACCTTGAGTTCCATCTGCAGCAGTCGATGAGGATTCTTACCTTGCTTTTCAAAACCCAATGGTGTGAATTAGGTTGGTTTCTTTAGAATGTGATGAAGTAAGACCGACTCAAGCGTGGTTTTGTACACCCAGCTTAAAGGGGCTCCGACTCGAGCTAGAGTGACAGTAATTGCACCCAGGCAGCATGCCCTTCACTGGGTGCTGCTGAGCCTTTACTGGTTCCCAGTCTGACTATGGCTAGATGAGTATTGCTGGGAACCGGCATGATGATGGTCTGTTCCTGCAGCTCAAACACTGATGCTTTCTGCCTCCCTGAGCCCGGGCAGTGGTGGCGGGTCGCTCGTTTGCTGTGCTGTTTTGACCTCGTTTTATACCTGTGCTGAAGCAGAGAGATTTAGAAAGGGATGGCTGGCACGGCTTGTTTTGGTGTGTTGAAATCCTGTGAGTGAGAAAAAGCACTTTTAAACACAACAGCGTTGACAACCTCGTAGTCTGGTGGTGATAGGTCTTGGTACAAACGTTTGAATTTCTCTGTGGAGCGCGCAGTAGTAACGCGGCACGATTTGGCTCCGTTCTGTGCGGTTGAACAGGAAGAAATGCTTTTTCTGTTCAGGTTTTCTTATAGCTGCTACTTGTTCTGCTTTTCCTGGGAGGGAGGAAGTGGTGTTCCTGCTCTGGAATGTGAGTGTGAGCGCACGAAGGGGATGGGAGAGCTTTTTAGAGGACTGCAAAGGGAGGCAATATATTTCCACTGAAGCTGCTAAACAGCAAAAGCTTCTGTGAGCCCGGAGGCACACGTACTTTCTGTGAAGTCTGTTTTTAATCCTTCAGTTAGGAGATGGAAGATGAGTCCTTCTCCCTCGCTAATCGGCGGAACGTCCTCTTTGCTGTCAGCTTCCTTTCTTAAAAAACCTCGGCTAACGTGCAGTGCTGGTCTGGGCTGCTCTCCCCCTGCCCCGGGGGTCTCTGAGTATCCGTGTTCCTCAGACTCACCACGTGGCAATGACACAAAGCAGCTTTTCTTGCATCTCAGCTTCTCTTGGTGGTAATTTGAGACTCACTTCTCTTTATTTTTTTTTCGTAGACACAAGCATATCGTCCTGAAATCGCTCTTGTTGGGAAGGTTTCTGGGATGGATGTAGAGGACAGAGGGCCGTGAGCTGTCTCTAGAGGCAGAACTGGTGTGGGTTGAGCCGAGGAGCTTTTTCTTCCTTGAACTCAGCCCTTCGGCTTATCAGACATAAGATAAAAAGGGTTGTTTTTCTCTTTTTGCTTCACTTAAATTGAGAGAAGCAGGTCAACGTTGCCCCTGAACGCACCTCTCCTACACTTGCAATGATAAGGGGGAAAAGGATCACAGCTTTTAGCTCGCAAGTGCTTGTCTTGTTCCACATTTAAAGGATTATTGGCTAGATGTTACGCTTTTGCATATTGAAGTACTGAACTGTGAATGTATGCAGTAAAAGCTTAGTTAAGGTCTCATTTAACTTCCATTGCTCTTCTCACAAGAATAAGGTTCGAGTTCCGAGAGCTGGGGTTTGCTGCGGTGCGCGGGATGGCCGGTACGTCAACGGGGGGCACTTTGATGTCGTGTATTTCAAGAAAAGCTTGTTTGAGCTTCCCACGTCGGTGAGAACCAGTCTGTTATCTGCTGGGACTCAGCTTTGGAGAAAAAACTGAGCTTTAATCTTTGGTGGATCTGAAGCAGAGATTACTAGGTTGGATGATGTGAAGGTAACTGAAGCAGCTGAGATTTTAGGGGGAGTGCTCTCCAACCCTCACAAATTCTTCTGCTTGCAGACGTGTTCATAAGTCCTGTCTCTGGAAGAGAATTACAGCGCTGACCGATATATTTGCATAAAGAAGCTACCCTTGACTAAAAGCCTGAGACAGCAACTTCAGCGGAGGGCGTCCTGACTCGCAGCGTTTGAAATTAGCTCAGTCTAAAACCTCTGCTGTGAGTGATTAGGGTGGGTGCAGAAAATAAAGGAAAACTCACCTCGTAAGTCATGATAGCGTCGCTCCTTGAGGCTGCTTTAAAATGGTGTCGTTTGGATGTCGTCTTCATTTTCCGTGGGGAGAACTGGTTCTGCAGCCTGAGGGTAACGAGCAGGCGTGTGTTTAGGCTTTTGAAGAAAAGTTGATAGCTGAGTTTTCAAATTTATGATTACTTCGGGAGATACGGTTTTAAACGGTGGCGGCCTGACCAAGCTGCAATTAATTACCCTGCTCCTTCAGGTACTGTTTTGGGTTTTACGTTCGAAGCGGAGAAGTAGTTTCTGCCACTTCCTGCTCTACAAAATAAAAGCACTTTAGTTAATAATGGCTGAGATTAAGGACTTTGAAACGTTTCCTGTGTTCTCTTTTTATCTTGTGGTTGTCTTCTCTGAAGCAGCAAATGCAGCAAACACCCCAAAATCCTCTTTGGGCTGCAGGCTGCTGGCTTCCAAAACTGGTGAAATGCTGCTTCTTTGCATCAGATATTTGAGGCCTGACAAGTTCGTGTCAGTGATGTGTTTAAGCTTTGCCTGGTTTTGGCTCTTTGAATGAATCTGACAGCCTGAATATCAGTGAAAACAGGCTTCGTGGTGGGTTTTTTTTGCTGCGGTTGGGATGGGCAGGAGGTTTTTGTGCCGTGTTTGTGCTGTTTCTCCTTGAATGAGCTGCAAGGAGGGCAGGGGGATTTGCAGCTGGAGTTTCTTCTACCTATGGAGCCGTGGGTGTTTCTCTTGGTTTGGGCAACTGTTTTTGTAGCCTCTCCGTAAATTCCACTGCTCCTGTGCCTTTTGTGTTCTCTAAAGTTAAGACAGTGTCTTATCTCAAATACCTGTCGTCCCGATCTTTTTGGTACTTGGCTATCATCCCTCATATTATGCAGGTTTTAAAATTTTCTGTTGCTTCTTACAGTGAAAATGAGTTGGCAGAATGTGAGTGTCTTTAAGTTGATCCCCTTCTGTGTGTTGAATGCGTCTCCTCGGTCGTGAACTGACACTCCTTTTTTCTCTCCTTTCAGCCAGATAATGAAATCTCTTCCGACTGCAATCACGTGAGTATCGCTTTGTTTTAATCTGTCTCTAGCTGTGGCATTTGCACCTCGTATCCCAGATTTTGCAGAGTTTGATAGTTTGCAAAAAGGCATTAACCAGCACATCTTTGGGGTTCTCTGCCAGCCTGCGGAGGAAGAACACGCAACGACTTCTTTAACCCAGTATAGCTGCTGTGGTGTTACTGGAAGCTTCCGAGTGGAACATTATAATAATAATAATAATAATAAATACACTTTATAAAGTATATTTCTGTATCAGGGAGGACAGCAGACATCTTTCCTATTTCGTAACTGGGGGGTGATTCACCTGAGTTAGGGGAAGCAATATGATGGGCTTTCTTTTTGGGAAGGACGTGAGCAGCACTGAATGTAAACTCTTGGATTTCAGCTGTTGAAACCTTCTGTATTCCTCTCACAGCTGCGGAATTCTTAGACTTGCTTGGAAAACGCTGTGGCGGTGTGATATTTAGAGGCAGTTTGAACCACTTGGCTGGTTTTAGAACAGATTTCCTCTCAGCGCTGTGTTTAACAGTGAGCAAACTGTTAGCCAGTTTTCAGGCTGTCGAGCTGACTCTCCAAATCCTGAAACTCTAAAAAAAAAATTTAAAAATCATTAGAGCTAAGCCTAGTGTTAGGTTTCCTCTGACTTATTTCATTTGAATTCTGTTAGAATACACCATATTAAAATTCTTAATTGTTTGGTTAGCCCTGGACACAGACAAGCGCGTACTTCAGTGACAGACTTGGTTTCAGATGCTTGAGCAAAGCTGTATTGTATTATTGGAAGAAATATCCCAGAAATGAAACCCAGCCATGCTCTACAACTAGTAATTTCCAACGGTGTTTATAAATTAACCTTTGGCGCTGCGCTGCCCGCCTTTGTGGCGGCTCTAATTCTCTATTGTTGTGTGCAGGGTTGGATCAGATGAAGGGGACGTCATGTTTCTGTTTAAGTCTCTTGTGTGAAAAAGAGAAAAATTGAGTAATTAAAACACATCCACCTGACTTAAATGGGCCAGCAAACATAGCACCTCATGTCCTAATGTGGTTTTTTTTTCCCCACTCTCTGCAATCTTTGGTAGTAGATCAACTCCTGGGAGAATGCTGCTTATTGCTAAAATCTGAATTTTTGAAGCTGCGAATTTAACTTTCCTGTTGCCTGTGGGAAGATTCCTTTGGAGAGCGTCTACTTCTGAGACTCTCCAGAGTCTGAGGTTACAGATGCCGAGGTGTTAGGGCGTTACACCTCCTTCTTGTTTTTCCAATCCTGGCCTGGCAGAGGTCTGCAGCGCTCTGTGTGAGGACAGGTTCCCTCTTTATTCACTTTTATCTATTAAACACGTGTGTTTACAACTTACTCCCTCTGAAATATCCTGGTTTCCCATCATCTCCTCATTTTTTTTTAACTTCTCACAACTCCAAACCCATGCTACGAGGTGTGGAAGACGGTGCAGCTGTGCTGCTGCCGTTTTTAGTACTCTCTGCGCGCTTCCAGCCTCTTGGAGATGACGTCAAACTGCTTTTCTTGTGCATGTTTTTTGTGTTTTCCTCGGCTTTTGTGTACAGCTGAACCCTCAAAAGAAAAGTTTAACCAAACTGTTGATCTTTTTTTGGCTTTGTCACTGAGGCTGAGTGTTTGAAATAACGTTTGGAACCTGTTTAATCTTCGTGTTAATGAGAAAAGTTTAAATGCAACTTAAGCTCCTAGAGAAAACCAGAGGGGCTGATAGAGCTTTGCTTGAGCAGCATCCCTGCTATTAATTTGCTGAGTTTTTGCTGCCTTTACCACGTGTTTTTTACTTTGTGTTGGGCTGAGTTGCACCGTATCGAGGCTCCTACCTGAGCTAACCCCGGCTCCTGGAAGAGGAGTCGTCCTTCCCGAGGCGTTTTTGCAGGATAACCTCTAAAGTATCATCCTCTAGGTTTGCAGTGTATCTGCTTCCAAAAACCTGGCCAGGTGTGCTGCTCTCCTTCCTTTTCTGCTAGCCTTTTATTAGGTTTTTAGCATGAAATCTGCTCGTAGCAGGTACTTCCATTTTTTTTGTTAGATCATTTGCACCAGGTAGAAAAGCCGTGGTGCAGAAAGGTGTGTTGGAAAGAGCTTAAAGACGTTGCTAAATATGCAGCAGGTTGCCAGTTGTTTTATCTTCTGTTATGAAATTGTCTCAGTTGGATCTCTTTCTTCTTCATGTGTCAGCTCATGACCTTATGGCGAGATTTTGAACAGCCTGAATTTGGTTCTAGATGAGAAAATCATTGCGGAAATGAAAGGAACAAAGTTGTTGTCAAGGAGACTTTGCATTAACTGTCGCCCTGTAGAGGGGTGATGATGCAGATTGGGAATAAATGGTGTTTCCTTCTTTTCTGGAGGAAAATATTTGTCATTCTCCACGGGAAGCTGTTAAACCTCCTTCTTCTACAAACACTCTCTCTCTAGCTCTTGTGGAACTACAAGCTGAACCTCACGACAGATCCCAAGTTCGAATCCGTGGCCAGAGAGGTCTGCAAGTCCACTATTGCAGAGGTAAGAAAAAAGGGCGCGTGGCTGCTGTTGTGCCACGTAGGGAAGACTGCATTTTCCTACTTTATGTCACGTTGCTGCCGCAGAATTTTTACAGCCAAGGCATTATTGAAAATCCTCTCAACCGTCTGTTTAATTACCACTTTTGTGTAGTGACAGTCTGGCATTGCTGTAAATGATGCCCTCTAAATCTGGAATATGGTGTTGGAAAGCAGCGGGAAGAACATGGTATTTTAGCTGTACGTTAACCACCCGTGTTCCTCCTAAAATTGTGGTGAAGGGTGACACCAGCTGCTGGGGTTTTGCCGTTTGATGATTGGGTTTTTTTTATATAAAGAAAAAGAAGTTGCCTAAGTAACAATCTCATGTGTTTCACCTTCTGACACTTGATGCTGAAACAGGTGCATAAACTATTCCTCTAATTTTTTGGAAGTATTTCTAAACCACCTTTTAAAGCTAACATAGGCAGTGGGAATATACTGTTAACATACAGTATTAGCTTATTAATGATTTTCTTGAATTCATAACTAGCAGGTAGGTGTTTTCTTGCTGGTGACTGAGCTCTGATTTTAAATATTGTTTTATATTAAGAACCACAACAGTAACTACTCGTAAAAATCATTTGGGAATCGGTGACTGTCCCACCTGGATGCATTCTGAAAAGCCCACCTTTAATTTTTATCAGCTTAAATCTATTAACTTTTTTCCCTCAACTGTTGCGACTTTTCAGAGTTGTGGCAATAATTTTCAGCTTGAGTTGGAGTTGGCTGCCAGGTGACGGTTGCCCGTGTTTGCTGGTTTGGCTCGTGGTGCTCAAGCAGGGCCAAACCGAAGATGCAGCTTTCTCAGACTTGCTCAACTCTCTGCCTTTCACCCTGCAGGGACTAATACGTGTTTTCACTTCAAAATGTGTTTTGTGCCACATCTGTAACAATTATGTTGACTGTAGTAGCTTTACTTTTCTAGTAGCTGTATAGATTAAATACAAAAAGCTCTACCAGCCTACATCTGCCTTCAAATAATGATGTTAAAAATGTTGCATGTTTATATTTGTTGTGGAGAACATAATGACCTCACAAGCTGAAGCAGAGAGATCTTGTTTGCTCATCTAGTCCGACCTCTATGTCTGTCACAAGATGCCCTGAGTTAATTCTTATTTGAATTAAAATATATCTTTCTAGAGATGACTCTTTTAAAAATTTTTTTAATTATTTTTTTTCAATATCCTGTATAAAGATCCCAACTCGGTGTTTGAGGACTGATAAGATGGTTCCCTGCCCGTTCCCTTAGCGCTGCCCTTGCTCGCTAGCTGAACCCGCCCGCGTTATTGATCGCCGCGGCTCTCCCTGTAGATTGATGAGCCCTTTCAGTCTTTGCACGGGAACAAATCTTTTTTGATGTGATCAAAGTCAACCCGTGTATGTAGGGCTCGAAAAACTCTCACGGCTGAACTTGAGAGAGCCTGGCTGCAGTTTCCAGCGTGCTCCTCGCCGGCAGAACACCAGAAGGGGATTCCTCAGGGAGTCCTGTCCTTAACCGGTCAATAACCACGTCTCCCCCTTCCTTTGGAAAGACGCTGGCCAAACTACCTGCGCCTTTTTCTTCCAAAGGTGACATTTTTGACCTTCCTGTCTGCTTCCCTGAGCAGTGCAGGCTGTGATTTATATCGGGAACCTATCTCGTTCGTGTACTCTGCTTTTCCAATCCCTGCCCGGCTTTTGTTAGCCCTGATTTTGATTTTAGACCACCCAGTGAAGTGGTTTAGCACCAGCGATCGCTTCCTCGAAGAGCCAGATTAAAACGGATTTGAAGAGGGTTTTCCTTCGTGGTAATTTGCAGTTTCCAGCAAGTTATAAGCAGTTTAATAAATATTGTGTTGACTTTTGAATGGGTCTCATTTCTAGTCAAAACGTTGTATTGTGCAAGGTCAGGTGGCTGATGGGGGTCCAAGTATGATTTAGTGCTGTTGCAGTGTGCTCAGTTTTCTAAATAAAAAATTTGTCAGACTAGCATTTTCACTACAAATCCACTTGATTGCAGGGGTTCAATGTGATTATTATGAAAGATGATTATTGAGCAAGAGGGTTTATAATCCTCAAGGTCGCTGCATTTGCTTTTTTCAGATACTGCCACGCATGAGGTATTTCTCACTTCTGACATGTTTTCAAGTATTCTGACTTGCTGAAAATCAAACTAAAGCCTGGAGGGTTTCTTTGCCAGCAGATTTTGAAGCTACAGATGCAAGTTTCTTTGAGGTTGTTTTTTTTTTAAAAAAAATAGGTTAAATTCAGTAGCTGCAACAACTGAGTGGTTTTTTTTTTTTCTTCTTCTTTTTTTTTCAAACAGATCAAGGAGTGTGCGGATGAACCAGTTGGTAAAGGCTTCTTGGTGTCATGTTTGGTGGATCACCGAGGCAACATCACTGAATACCAGTGCCATCAGTACATCACTAAAATGACAGCCATTATCTTCAGCGATTATCGGTTGATCTGCGGCTTCATGGATGACTGCAAGGCTGACATCAATCTCCTGAAATGCGGCAGCATTCGACCCGGAGAAAAGGTACCCGGAGAACACGGAGATTATCGATAGGCTTGTGAAAGTCATTCACCCGAGGAAACTTTTATGTGGAGGCTTTGCAAGAATGCTGTTGTCTTGCAACTGAGAAAACCTTGTGGCACGTGTCACCTGGGTGAAAAGGGCGCTGCGCTGATGCTGTGTAGTCCCTTTTTAACAAATACACATTCGTTCCTCTGTGAGGAAGTGCCGTTGGGAAATGACTTCCCTTTGCCTTTCCTTACCGCCCTACAGGTGCTCTGGTGGGTAGGTGGCTTTTTGGTGGCACTCTGTCAGATTCGACTCGACACGAATCCAAACAGTAGGTGTAAGCAGACCTTATTTTGCCGTCTGGTGGCGTCTGGCGCAGGAAAGTTGTCGCGGTGATGCGGGATCTGCTGGAACCCTTTCTGCTTTCTCAGGTTGCAGCTGATAGACTGCATCGAGCTTTTATCTGTTCTCTTCCCCATTCCCTTGCCCACCCAAAAACAGTTGAAGGGCACCTCTTCCTTGGTGTCACTTTTTAGTAGCACGGACTTACTCATACTGTGCTGGTTGTACTAAATCCACGTTCTTTGTGTCATGTGAGACTTAAGCGGAGGCTGATGCGAAGAACAGTTTGTGGTGAGTAGATGGGGAGGGCTTGTTTTCAAGGCGCTGTCTTTCCCTGTCTACTTCAGCCTCGCTAATGCAGGCACCAATTATGTAGCGCTGCAGGGATGAGTGGCTTCTTTTACGGTAAGTTTTTATGCTTAAGGATAAAGTTAAAATTAGCCTCTCAACTTTTTACAGTGCTCTTTAAATTATAGCTCTTGCGCTTTTAAAATTAGTGTCTTAAATCAGCTAGTAATGAGGAGGTGAAAAGATTTAATACAAAATACTTCTGGTAATAAAAAAAAAAAGTTTTCCTAGTTGTTGGAGATGTTAGCTGCTGTAAGCAGCTTCACATCCACAGTGTGTTAAACTGAAGTGCTAATGTATTCCTGACGACTTAGCTGAAACAACAGAAAGCACAAAAATAAGTACTTGCTTTCAGGAACAAAAGCAGCCATAGAAATGGGAGGAACTTGTGGGCACCACAGGTTTGGACTAGTAACGGCTGAGTAACTTGTTTCCTCCCTAAAGTAAAGGTTCTCTTCTAATCCTGGCCCGAAGGACTTTATGAAATGAGAAATTGCTTTTAACAATTGCTGTAGAACCAGAAGTGCAGTATGGGAGCCATGGGTCTACTTATTACCTGTGGCCTGACCCGATTGAAATCAATTAAAATTAAAATAACTTTGGGTGGCACTGAAGGGGTTTACACTAGCGGGCATTTCATGAGCTGAAGCCAAATCTCCTGTAGAAGCAGAGGAACCTGCCGAGGTGGTCGCAGAAGTAGAGGTGGGTGAACAGGCGATGGCCGGGGGGTCTGAGGTTTTATTACGCGTCTTCCTCGCTTGCTCTGGGCCCAACCCAGGATATTTTGCCTTGGTTTGTGAAAGCCCCGCAGCCTGTCATACGATGTCTTTTGTTATGCTGTCGTCCTTGGCGCTTAAAGCAGTTGGAAGTGTTTTATACTGCTATGGAAACAGCTATAAATGGCTACACGAGCAGTTCTTTGCTTGGTGTTCTGGTCTGTCCCTATTCTGCTTCGGAGAAATCTCCTTTACTCCCACCGGATGCTGGTTCAGGTTTTATTTCCACACTGAAGCTTCTGAGAGTTGCCTGTAGAGAAACAGTCATTCCCCTTTTGTGTGACTTGAATATAACTGTGAATTTAATAAATAAGTCCTGGACACCTGAGGAGGAAGATGGGGAAAGAGATTAATCTCTTTCTTTTTTTTTAATGGAGATAAGCACTGCTGGACCACAAACTCCCATCTACATCGGGCTGCTGGTAGAATGCAGTGTGAGAGCTTCATCATAGTGACTGGGATAAACTGACTTTTTTAACTGTAAAAGGCACCTCACTGGTGTTCTGGAATTACTTTGCTGCTTGAAGCTCCTCTGCTAGCTGTTTTCTATACTTCCTTTTTCTTTTTTTTTTCCTAGCCTGCTTACTCCTTCCTGATTGAATTCTGTTCCTGCTGGCTTTGTTGGCCTCTGATGTGATGTTTTCTGTGCTTTCTTCACTTTCCGTGTTGTTTTTCAGCTCTGTAAGAGCAGTAACGTACAGCGTGGAGGTCCTGATCTGCCTGTAGACTGGAGCAGAAAGGCTGGACGTGTGTCATCTGAAAGCATTCGTTTTCAAATCCGCCTGCGGTGCGGTTGTTTTTTCTTTCCACTGAATTGAGAAGTGTTTAATAGTAGTTTCAGTCACCTTTCTGGCCGACTGTTGCACTTAGATTGCATTTGGTCTCCTCGTCTTTAAAAGTTTCTTCGTAGAATAGGGATGGAGTTCAAAATTGAAGTTAAGTAATTGCAGGGGAGCTTTTCTTGTGGGGCCGCCTGTCGGAACGAGCTGCGTTCCTCACCCTGGTCGTGCCAAGGACTGTATCAAACTCATGGCTGGTGTACAGGTGCTGGGTTTAGCCCTGGTGGCCAAGCTGGAGTTGGTTATTTGCCATATCGAAGGCTACCTAAGTGTCAGTTGTGCATCTGGTTTAGTATTTTACCAGCTAACAGTATTTTTCAGATTCCTCGAAGAAAAGATATGTTGAGAGACCATTGTTATCTTGCCTATTTTTTTTTATTTTTTTTTTGGACCTCTGAGTGTTTGGAGTACAGTTCCTCTCGGTCTTTTCCTAGTTTTTGTAGAACTGATGGACACAGTCTGGGGAAGAGATGATAATGTTCAGGTCAAACTTTTTTTACTTAGCACGCTAAGCTGGAACTCACGAGAAGATCTACCAGGTGATTTTTCCGTAGCCTGACTGCTGTGGCTCCAGCAAGTCAGCGTTGGGCCATCAGCAGGTGGTTCTGTGCCTCTAAGACAGGTTATATTTTGCCTGCCTGATGCTCTTTCATTCTCTCAACTCTCTTTATGGTCACTTTTCTAGCTTCTTTCTGCAAGTGTGGAGCTAGAACAGTTGTGAACTCGAGGCATGTCAGGTTTCAGACAGAATAAAATATTTTCAGGGGGAGACTTGTGACAAAAAAATAAACAAGACTCCTGTCACAGAACTACGCAGAGTTTCAGGGCGCTCCAGACGAGGTAATTGCCTAATATCTTTAATGGATTTTCGCAAATGTCAGTTAAAATTCCCCATTTAAGATTTGATAGTGATGGTGAGGCAATGATTCCAAGAAACACGTGGGGGTTTTTGCACCCTTAAGTGTTTTTCAGATGTGAACTCTTGTATTTCAGCACTGGAGAAAGGGGGTCTATGCTCCTGTCAGCCCCCACAGCAATTCTGGGGAGTCCTGACTTGTGGAATGAGCTTCAAAGGTCTTTAACTCTAAGGTAGAGGCTGGTTAGAGGAAAGGCTTGGAGATTCATTCCACAGCAGCGTTTGGACGCACCAGACAGCCGGTGCCGGAGCAGGATCGGAGAGCTCGTGCCGTGGGGTGCTCACCCTCAGCTTTGGTGCCTCCGAAGCTGAGCTGGCCCCACGGGTCTGGTGGTGTGTAGAGGACAGGTGAGAACAGGTAGCAGGTGAGTCAGAACCGTCCTGCCATCCTTAGGACGGAGCCCGTCAAGCTTTTGATTGCATTAGAAAAACTTGCTTGAGTGCAGCTGCACAAAGGATTGTTTTCCCCTCCAGTCTTCAGTTGAAGGATTGTGCATCTTAAATACAGTAGGTGTTGGCCTATAATTAAATTTTGGAGTGAGATTTCTCTGAACTGTGTTTGTAAAGCCCCATCTGTACTCCTTTTGGCCACTAATGTGACTGCTTTCAGGCACTTCTGAAGAAGAGTTAGGACCTACTTAAACTGCCTTAACGAGTCAGCGCTAGCACTTGGGGACGTCATCTGCCTGGAAGCAAACCCCAGGCTAGGTCAGGAGATCTCCCAAGCGGCGATGAGTGAGCCCAGGAATACCAATGACACCGCAAGAAGGCAGGTAAATGCTGGGAGGTAGGAGAAGAGAGCAGGACTGCATCTTTCAGGAGCTGGCTGTGTCAACTTCTGTGTTTCTGTTAAGTCTGACACGTTTTAAAATTTCTCTAACGCGCAGTAGCCAGCGCTGCAGGGTGGTCCACCCGAGTGTACAAACTGTACTTGCGAAGCAACGCAATAAATCAGTTGTTTCATGTTCTGTCCCCGGAATGCAACAGGAAACGTTCATCAGCCAGCCTATGGAAATCCATTTCCACTAGGCTATTAAAAATAGGTTTGCTTTCACATATAGTATGACTCTGACCAGGAATCTAGACCCACGCTGCAAGAAACCAGAGAACTTCAGGCTTGTGAGGGGAGGCTGCAGGTGAGTGAGTGTCATCTTGGCCCTGCCTTGCTTCTCTCAGCTGGAGCAAAAAAACTGCCAGAGGAACTTTAAAACGGTTGTTTTCAGTTATTTCCACTTGCCGGCTCCCCAGCTGTAATTACTACCCATGGCTCACCGCAAGGATTTGGGGAGCGGTGTTTGCGTTCAGCGTGGTTAGGGCTAAATGATGGCTTTAAGCGATGTGGCGAACATACTGCCAGCCAGTGTTCCTTGGATCCCTTTTGGTTTCCATCCTAAAGGGGCTGTTGCTATATAAATCTGTTCCTTCCCAGCTGCTGATATCTGGCCAGCATGTGGAATTGGCCAGTTCCCACTCCCAGAAAAGAGCGAACCAAAATAGAGAGTTTTGGAGCATATGGTTTTGGGGTTTTTCAGGGTTTCTTTTTCAGTTTTTTTTTGAAGGGGAAGCCTACTCTGAGCCCTTTTAAACTGGTTACACTTCTATGTTTATGGCTTCAGTTGGCCAATTCTTCTTGTCTCTCCAAGGGCAGCAGAGTTAAAGGAGTGAAAGGAGCAATAAGATTTGGGAGAGTGGCGTGGCTTTGTGCGGCTGTGCTCTTGTTTACTGGAGGTTTCTCTTCCTCGTGCTGCTGCAGCCGCGGTGGATGAATGGGCTTGACGGACCAAGCTGAAGGGATAGCTCCGAAATGGTTACTGCGAGTGCTGGGTTGATGTATGCAGCATAAATTAAGGTGGTCTCCACAGGAAAATCTTGCCGAAGCCTCGAGAGATCGGTTCCAGAAGAGTTCTTGTTTATGATTGGAGGCGTCGAGGGGGTGAGGTTCCCTTTTTAAAGACAGAAAAAGCATGCAGGAAACTGAAAGGGGAGCGTTGCCCTGCCTCTCCTGGGCTTTCATACAAAGCACAGACTCTCTGTTCTTATTGCCCGTCGCTGGTCATAATCCAAAGTTGTCTCCAGGCTTGCAGGACACTGAACAGTGTCAGGCCAGAACTGCTTTGTCCAGCACTCCATCTCTTCTTGAATGCTTTGAATTTCTTTATTTTTTGGTCCCTTAAAGGAGGGGTTAGCACAGAGAAGCTTACGTCGGTCCAAGCTCCTTTGTGGCCTTTTTAGCATCATTAATTATCACCACCCAAACTGAAGGCTTGCCTCAGCACGGAGGGACTCTGGCTCAAGTGTGTTCTTACCAGGATGCCGTTGCCATGGTGTGAAGAGAGCTACGTCAGATTAAAGATAATTTGGCTGGTTTGGTAAACTGCTCTGAGCAGTGTGACTAAGTAGTGATAATCTCATTAAGTCGCATTAAAACAAACCCAGAGCATTGGAGCGGGGGGGAACGATTTCACAGTGGCCATCAGCAGGATGTGATGTGTGTGAATAATCCAGATATTAACTGCTGCCTCCTATGAACGTCAACGCAATTCGGGCTGAACGTTTGCAAGTCTCTGTGTGGACAGTTTGTTGCTTGATTTATGGGGGATTATCCAGAATCACGGATCGCTTGATTACGGTTGGTTACAGATGTTCTCTTGCTCTTCTCCTGTAGGATGCCCACTCGCAAGGAGAGGTGGTGGCGTGCCTGGAGAAAGGCCTGGTAAAAGAGGCGGAGGAGACGGATCCTCGAATTCAGGTTTCTGATCAGTGCAAGAAAGCGATTCTTCGGGTCGCCGAACTCTCCTCCGATGACTTCCACCTGGACCGGCACCTCTACTTTGCATGCCGAGATGATCGAGAACGGTTTTGTGAAAATGTGAGTCGTTTTCTTCTTGCCTTCTCTTCCACAGTAATCCATTAAAAATAAAAAGCCACACCAAAAGCACATTGGAAGGATAGGGTGGAGCCTGAGTGAGACGGTGAAACACTGAGAACAGACACCCTGTAGCCATCATTTTGCAATAGATCTGGTCGTAAGTTCACTCGCGTCATTTCTGGTGGGTTAATGAACTGAACTGGCAAAAATGGTTTAATGGCATAAGTGGTTTAACGGAGCTGGTGTGACAGGGAGGGGGGTGACTCGAGTGGGGAGCAGGTAGCAGAGGTAAGTGGCCGCTTGGGCGCACAAAGTGAACCTGGTCTGATTCTGCTCAAAGCACTCCTTGTCGCTGGAATGATGAGCTGGAAAGCTGCATTTTTCAGTATAGATTAGCTCCTACCAGCTGAGGGTCTTCTCACTAAAAGGGTGATGAACATGACCAGATTTTATTTTTTTTTTTTTATGCGGTAGAATTTAAAATATCTTTATAGTTACAGAAGCTGTCACTGTCATTTGAAATACTAACTTTAATATATATTGTTTTTTTTTTAAAAAAAAATCTCTTTAGGTGTCGTTTAGCCTGCTCATTAAGCATTACAAGTCTTATCTTTAATGGCAAATGTTCTTGTTCTGTTTCACAGACTCAGGCTGGGGAAGGCCGAGTTTACAAGTGCCTCTTTAATCACAAGTTTGAAGAATCAATGAGCGAAAAGGTAGGTATCTGTCTTGGCGAGACAAATCCTTAATGCAGAAATCATCAGGTCATTCATCAGTCCAAGCCATATTATTCGTTTCCAGCGCTGAGGAAGATCCATCATCTAGGTGGTTGGGTAACCGACTGCTTTAACAGATGCTTTTCCTTTGATATGTTTGTGTTTCCAGCCATGCGCTGATGGCTTGGGTTAATTGTACTTGAGTTACGGCCTTTAAGGTTAAGGATTTAAATAAATCAAAGCTTTTTTTGGGGTGGGTAATGTGGGAAGGTAGACGCGGAGTTCAAGTGGTCGTGCTGTGATTGAGTGTTTAAAGTAGAAGCCGTGCTGTGCTGTGGTAAGCCTTGGATAAATGCTGTCATAAGGTGCAGATTAGAAACAAAATGCCCAAACACCTCAGCACGGGAAGAAGCTGCATGTGCTTCTCTTTTCAAGGCTGTGAGTGTCTATCTATGAAGCGGGAAATTCTGTAGGAAAGAGGCACGGTTCAGTTACTGACGTTTTCCTTACGTTTTTCCTGAAGATGTGGTTTTCAACGACAACAAAAAGGCAGTTCTGGAAAGCCACTCCTGCAGGGTTTGTGTTGGTGTAGGTGTTTTGAGAAGGCAGCCTCGTAGTATTTGGGATTGTGTGGAATTCTCTCATCTGTCTGGAAGGGTACAAAGATGGGTTTCTCTGAAGCCCTCCTCAGAGAAGCTCCACTGAAGGAGCCCAACTTGGAGGCCTGGAGGGATCAGACTGATTTTCCTTTTCTTTAAATGCATTAGCTCTCTGGAAGCTTAGTTCCAGTTAACAAATTCAAAACTGCGAGAGTGATCCCTGAGGGCTTGGAACAGCTTCATTTTGTACAAGCGCGTCACTGAAATGGCTATTTTTGCTTAGCCTGGTTTTAATTGTACAGGGTTGGTGGTGTTTTATTTTCAGGGGTCTTTTCCATGGTCTGCTCTCGGACTAAGATATTCGTGCGAGATGCTGAGGGGTTAGACGAAGCTGTAGCAGATGACTTGGTCCTGTCTGCCGGCCTGTATCTCCCCATGTCCAGTCCCAAGGTCCCAGTCATGAGACAGGAGCCTGAAGGAGGGAGTGGGACTATCCTGGAGTAGGGCTTTCCGCGTCCTGAGCTAGGTATGAGAAGAAAGGGGAGAAGAATCGAAACCCTGGCATAAGGAAGGGGAGAGAGCTGTAGGATTTCTCCGCTGAGATAGCTCCCCGTTCTCCCCAGCCGTCATGTGCAGTTTTTGTCCCTTTCAAACAGGCTGAGAATGGACAAATTGGAGCTATTCAGAATTATCTGCCACCCTCAGATTTAATTCTCTTGTAATTTAACCCAAAAGCTAGCAAGCGCAGCAGTGAGGTTTTTTACAGTCCCTTTTTTTGCAAGAACAGCCCTCTAAATTTCATCCAGCTGCTGGGTTTGGCCGCGGCGCATCCTCGTGAGCCTCGCTGCTTGTGGAAAGCGGCTAGAAATTCCCATGGTTAGGCTGCTTTATCTGCTTTCATCTGTCGGGCACGTTGCAGAACAAATGCAGAGAACACGCTCTTTTTCTAAAGGCAACTGGAAAAAGATTGTTTCTTGAGGGCATGGGGTGAGCATTTACCACAGCTGGGATAAATGTCAGCAACTGATCCTAGTTACCGAGAATGAGTCACGCTCTCAGGCGCAGCTCTTCACAAAAAGCTGGATGAATGCGCAGTTTGAAGAAGTGCTCTGCAGAGAGCTGCTGCCTTTAAAACCCTTGATCTGTCGACCTCGGTGGGCATTGTTAACTGAGTGGTCTCCATGAGACCCAACAAGATTCCACCACAGTCTGGCTTTTAAATGCTTGAGTTTTAAAGCGTCAGGCGCCTTTTGAAACACTCCTTGAAAACTTTACAGCAGCAGAGCTGGCTCCTTCAGCTGCCCCTGATGTGTCTCCCCGCAGTGTCGCGACGCACTGACCACCCGCCAGAAGCTGATTGCCCAAGACTACAAAGTCAGTTACTCGCTGGCCAAGTCTTGTAAAAGTGACCTGAAGAAGTACCGCTGTAACGTGGAGAACCTTCCCCGGTCTCGGGAAGCCAGGCTTTCCTATCTGTTGATGTGCTTAGAGTCTGCTGTGCACAGAGGTGAGTGGAGCTTCAACATGTCCTGTACAGTCTCCTCCAAGTAACCTCTTCCAAACTTTGGTTCAGAGGCGAGTTTCCTCCCCACGATGCTTTCGTTCCTGTCGTTTCAAAGGTTGGAATAGCTGAGCAAATCTCTGACGCCGACTCCTATTGTGTAGGCAAGAAGTTTAAAACGCAGAAGAGCAAATCCCACTTGAGTTGATGATGTGTAATTGCATATCCTTCTATTCACTGTGAATGCCAGCAGCCTTTTTGCTTCCTTCATGTAGCGAGCGTTAAATGTGCTGCTCAGTTAAAACACAGAATAGGCAAATTGTTTGCCAGCGCTTGGGGAAAGTGAAGGGATACAAGAGGCAGAGGACTAAGTGATGTTTTTTGCTTTGCAGTTCAGGTGCTTGGATAAAGGCTTTTATTTTTCTAAGTCTTGCCTTATTCTTCATCTCTAGAAGGAAGTGTGAGAATATCTTTTGTGTGTTTAAGTTGATGTAAGCTGGGGATGTCCTGACACTAGTGACTATCCTAAAGGCAGTAGAGAGCCCTGTACGGCAGCACCGTGCTGAAGGTTCTCTGCCATTGCCGTAACGTGTAAAACAAACATGTGAAATCCTCTAGACCTGCACTGGAGAGTTGGTTTTCCCCCTGGCCCTGCAGCTGGATGGTTTCTGATTCAGCAGCGAGGCTTTGTACTGCCCCTGGCACGGGAGGCAAAGGCTGCCGTAACACCACAAGCAATCTGTGCGTTTGTGAGACTGAATGACCCATTGCATCTGATTGATGTGGAAATGATGTGTGCTGCTTGTGGGAAAAGTTGCGGCTTGCTTTGATTTTTCTTTTGGGTTTTTTCCCTTCTGCCTGCAGTAGGGTAGGTGCTTTCCCGAATTGCACGAGGAGAAAGCTGCAATTTGATTGTTAACTTCCACTTTCATGGTGGAACAGGTTCCGCAGCATGTGAGGCTCATCCACAAAGCATAGCCCAGGAGGAAAGCTAATTATTCCACACACCTCCACGTGTCTGAATTACAAAGCCCTGTTGGCATGTAGGAGCCCTGTTGGCACCGATACGAGGCGACAGGGGGTGTTGTACAAGTGGTGACGGGGACTAGGAGGAGGATGTAGCAAAAAAGCCAACATCTTCCTTCTGGATTAAAAGAATCCCACCAAACTGCCTACGTGGGGCTCTAAGATATATACTTTATAGCAGATCCAAGCATTTATTAGAGGTAGATTCCTGTGCAGCTACAGATTGTTTAGATGCTCCATAGGTACTCTTGGTAACGTTTTCTATTCTGCTTTTTGACTTCCTGAGCTGTTGCTCGAGAAAACCTATTCCTCAGAGAAAATGTTGAACCTGCTGCCTAGACAAATTCCTCCCCCAGTTATGGTAGATTACCAGAGGTGACTTAATTTCTACAGTGGAAAAAGGAACCCTTGAGCATACAGGGAAGAGCTTCTACAGAAGTACACAACCGCTGAGCGTTCTCAGCCGATCTTCCAAAGCAACTCCTGTAACATGAAATCCAAAGTAAGATTCTTCTAATCTTTCAGGAATCTTTTTTCCTTTTTTAAAAAACATGCCTTAAATCCCTTGACACATTTGGTTAAATGTTGGGAGCTTCCATAACAACTGATTTAACCCCTAGTGCGTCCACTCTGGTGCGTTTCTTTCAATCTGGTGCCGTCCAGAGCGTGGACGACGTCCCTCTTCTACCAGTGGCTCAAGAAGGACTCTGCTAAACATTTCTACTAAACCACGTCGTCTTCTCTTGGCTCAGGTCGACAAGTGAGCAGCGAGTGCCAGGGCGAGATGCTGGATTACCGGCGCATGCTGATGGAAGACTTCTCGCTCAGCCCGGAAATCATCCTGAGCTGCCGCGGGGAGATCGAGCACCACTGCTCGGGTCTGCATCGGAAGGGCCGCACCCTGCACTGCCTGATGAAAGTGGTGCGGGGCGAGAAGGGAAACGTTGGCCTGAATTGCCAGCAGGCGGTAAGATGGTTTTTCTGCCGCTCGGTAGAAGCACTGATTTGTCAACGTTTTGCCTTGCAATGGAGGTTCTGCTGAAGGGTGCCAGGGAACGCTGGTATTTGTCATGGTATAAAGGAAACTAGTATCTAGCAGCACATTAGTCATGGGAGTTTTGGGGTGTTTTTCCTTCAAAAAATGTGATTTGAATGGTTTTACTCTGGATTTTGCCCTGGATCTCCTGTAGTTCTTCTTCACCAGCGGCTCTCAAGTCACAGAATTCTTTTCCTGGGTG